GAAACTATTCCGAGATTCACACTAACAGGAAGTAATTGGGGAGAAACACAAAACTTTCCTTACTAACAGAACTGTATCTAGATTTGCTTGGCATGTGGACTAAATATAAGTTCAAACATGTACAGAAGCATGTACGAAAAAGAAAAATCAGTTTGTCAAAATTTAAATAAAATACTAGTAAGTAGGATTAGCATAATTGTAAACAATGAGGGCTGTTTCAAGTTTGATCTTCATCAAATTCAGTTTAGGTAACAACATACAGGAACAATGGATTACTATAGTGTTTTTTTAATTGTTTCTTGCCTGTGATTTTCAATTAGATAAATGAGATCAAATTTGTTAGATATGCAGAAAAGAATTGACCCATGCCAAAACTAGGTAAGTTTTCTGTCCCACGCCCTTAACCATGACATGCTCCAGAAATGTCATGAATGCTTTACTTGATCATGGCAATTATATTAAAACACAGAAAATAAAAATTTGTCGGGCCGACGTCGGTGCGACTGAACTAATCGTCTCGGCGCTGGCCCGACATTTAACAGGCACCCGGCTATCATCCTGGACTAGCTCCGCAGCTGCATGCCGTTGATCATGATGTTGGCCAAAGCGTTCCTCCTCTTCCTCCACGACCCGAGCCCCTGTGCATGGACCTGCAGCTGCCGGTACCAGGTTCGAGTCCGCTCAACATCCTCCGCCTGAAATGTAAGAGAAGAAGAAGTAGAAACTGTTTTAGAAAATTTGGAACACCGTGAATGAGAAGACTTATTGCATGTTGAACACGTACCTTGAAGACGAAGGAATCTTTGGTTGCAAGCTCCTGTACTTCAAAGTAGTCATCCCAGTCCACCTCGCAGCATACCATACATTTGTCCAGGAAGAGGGGGTCCTGCAATACAGTCAAAGTGTGTTAGAATGTTTCTTAAATAAAGTGATGCTCTGCCAGGCGTGGATCCAGGAAGGAAAGGGGCGGGGAAGAGGCCATGGGAACAAACCGCCTGGTGGGTGGGCAAAGTGTGCTGGTCACTTCACTTGCTAGTAGGCAAAAGCTGTGCCCTGGCCTGAGGTTTGCTGGATCCGCACGCGTGACCCGAAGTAGCCTTATAGGTCGTGATAGGTTTTGTCGGCGGGAATGGAAACAACCGTCATAGAGTGAAAAATAAAAATAATAAAAAAACGCATCGATGGCACTGACTCAAAGAAGGCATCAGGGGTACCAATCCTGTGCTTCTGGTCTAGCAGCATCTCCGACAAGGGAGCGAGTGATAAAGCTGTCAGTTCAGTCTTGTCCGGTAGTGGTCGAGAGGTCATCGGTCGCGAGGCTCCATCGGGGTCGAAGGGAGATTACGGTCACATAGTGGTCACATGGCGTCCACCGCGCGACTCGCAGCGACAAAACTACCTGTCTTCAAAACACCTCAACGGAGTCAGAAAAAAAAAAAAACACGAAAAGAGCCAACTTGTTTGTCGTTTCGTCATCGTAAAGGTAAGTTGATACACATTTCAGACGGACCGGGCCGGAAAACACACAGCACAGGACAATATTGCCACAACGCCGTGGGGCGCGTGACGGCCAGCAAGCGACCAACAAGTGGTCAGCAAATGGTCAGCAAGCGGTCAGCAAGCGGACAGCCCTCCCGCAGCACTGACCCTTAACAGCGAGTATCTCCCGCCCTTCTCCCGGAGCAGCAGCAGGGTGGCGGCGCGCACGCCCGGCTGCGAGGCGAAGTGCAGCGGCGCGTCCATGGGGGAGTCCGACGACTGCAACGGGGGAGAACATCCGTTAGTGCCTGACCGTTAACGCACCATAGGCGCCCGCTCCTGCCCGTGACCTACCGGGTGACCCTGCGTCACGAGCAGCGCGCTCACGGGGCTCATCTTGACGGCGCGGCCCCGGCGCCAGCTCGAGTCGGCGGGCTGCGCGAACAGCAGGCGGCCCTCCATGGGGAAGCTCACGTCCTGCGTCCACTCGAGCACCTCCACGGCCATCTGGGGAACGAGAAACGGTTTAGCGGTGTCAGCGAGGCGTCCAGCCCGAGGGGTATACAGATTGGGACTTCACTATAAAATCAAGCGTACAGTACACCCGTTTTTCTGTTTCCTGGATTTTTTTTGTTTTTATTTTAATTTCTTCCGATTTTTTTCCTGGATTTTTTGTCTTTTTTTTAGTAGGGAGTACCGGGTGTAACTGTGAATGCGCAGCAGTGTTGCGGGATTGCATACCCGCCAGGGCTGCAGGGGCCATGGTGCCTACCGGGCGAATAGGGTAGGCAAACCCGCGACACTGCCGCGCATTCACAGTTTCACCTGGTACACTGATTTTCTGAGTGAAGTTCCCTTCGGCCAAACCCCAAGTGGTAAGTGGTCGACAACCGGGTTTATCCTCACCTTCCTCAGCTTGATGTTGACCATGTCGCTCTCTGAGCCGCTTCTGCGCCCGTTGGTGATGGTGATCCGCCTCCAGAGCTTAGTCGAGCTGATGTCCTTGGCGACCTGGTGCATAGACATTTTTTGAATTAGTTAGAGCGTCGATAAAACGGGCTACAATTTGAGGGGGGGGGGGTGACCGCGCGTTAACCGCTTACCGAGTTCATGTGCTCGAGGTGCAACTCGATGTGGTGCTGCGCCTGCAGTAGGAGCTCCTTGGCGGGGTGCGAGCACGGGGTCACCTTGTAGAGCCGTGCCAGCAACAGCGGGTACTTGGTGACTCGCTGCACGGGGACCTAGAGATGGAAACAAGACGAAACATTACCACCAACCAACACGGGATGCGGAACGATATTCGTCACAATAATTCAAGTTTCGATCAGCAGTGATCCCGACCATGAGGAAGGAGTTGAGGTTCATGCGGCGCAGCACGGCGTTCTCCATCTGGGACACGCGCAGGAAGATCCGAAGCAGCTCCTTCTCCTTCTCCAGGCTGGCCAGCAGCAGGGAGGCAGCGGCCTGGAGGCAGCAGACAAGAAGAAAAGAACAGTCAGTCACATCGCACTCACAACAACATTTCGCGGAGTGTTTTCAAGTACAACAAGATAGCCCGGAACGTCGCACGAAAACTTCTCTATACATTTCTCAGTCAGTTGACCGTGTTTTGGCGCTGGGCGCAAGCAACCGACGGGGCCCGAGGGGGAGGGGGGCAGGAGGTGCGGGAGCCGCAGCAAGAGCTTCCTTGGTCGGTCGCGAGGGTCTTCAGGCGCATTAGAAGAAGCCCCGGGCCCTGACCGCGACGCGGCGCGCGGGAGCCGAAGCAGAGATACGCGTAAGTGATGGCCGACTGGGACCGGCACGTCCAGGGCGCCTATTTGGGGCGTCCTTATGCCGCGGCCCGTCGGGGCGAGGCGGGGCGAGGCGGGGCGGGGCGGGGCGCCCATTTGGAATGCACTCAAGAATGCCCCGCGCGTTTCCCGCGGGATCATCACTCGCAGGCCGCCGCGATAGCCTAATGGAATATTCGTCTATCTCTCGAAATATATTTATCGGCGTCATAAACGCTGCGCGAAAAGACGCGCGCGGCAAAAGTGGCGAATAGGGATCATCCACAAAGTACGTCCGTGATTCGCTGTTCCAAAACTGCCAAGTTCATCCTGTGCTAGCTTTCGGAGCGCCTGGTGGGTAGGCAACTCCTCGTATGTAGTGCATGTGTGTTCTGCGGGCTGGCCTACATTAAGCCTCGCAGTCGCTCATTTCCCCTTTTCGCTAAACGAATCTTAGAAAAATCGGACGTACTTTCTGCACGGTAAAAATAGTTTCTTGTATTTCAAGACCCGGTCTTGGATGCCATTGGCGTTCTCCATAAGATCCAAGACCGGGTCTTGAAATACAAGAAACTATTTTTACCGTGTGGATGGTCCCTTACTATCGTGGTTCAACAGACCCCTCTCTGCCCGACTCGGGCACCCTACCCTCCCTCCCTCCTGGCACTCCACCCCCGCGCAAAGCGAGCGCAGAGCCAGTGCATCAACTTATGTGAGAGTTTCTTCTCCAACCACACCCACGGGTCGAAAAAGAAACGAGCAAAAAAAAGGAGATTATGAGAGAGGAAACACCGTATCCTTGCACAATTCAAACATCAACAACAGGAAAAATCATCGACGCCAAAGTTGAGTCAAGCTGACAGTTTATGGCCCGTGAGCAAAGCAGTCCCCCGGCCGCGTTCAGCGGAGCGCTTCGAGACGGCCCAGAGACAAGGCGGGCGTATGTACATCGTGTATACATACAGGCCGACGTACTCGCGCGGGCCACGAGACGGACAACCCCGGAAAAGCGCCGCCGCCGCCGTCGCCGACATATGATGCCAGGCTAACAGGCTGGCTGTGGAATAATCGTCCGGCGCGCGACACACGGGCTCACACAGACACAGACACACACACAACACACTCACACACACACACATACAACACACTCACACACAGAAACACACAGACACAGCGCCTAGAGCCTCGCCAAAGCTACGCGCAATAACAATAAGGGCCCGACATTTAGTCCGGTCAGTTCAAGTGCTTCCGACGACGACGACGAACGACGAAACTTGCGCAAAAACGGGCCGTAAATCTGGCAAAAGCGAAACGCCGCCGCGCGCGAGCACACGCAGACATACACGCGGGGGGAGGGAGGGAGCTGCAGCCACTCGCGAGGCGAGGGCCGGCACCTCCGCAATGCGTCTAATGAGGCCGCGCAAAGCGTCGCGGACAAAGTCATCATTAGAGAGAAGCAGATCAGGGCGCGGGGGCCGCGCTAGCATGGCGGTGGTGGTGGCGGCACGGCGGCGGCAGAGGCTTATGTCACGAAAGAGTTTTGTGGCAAACAAAAGCCGTCTTTTTGCAGGAGCCTCGCGCGGGAGGGGGGGGGGGGGCTGGCTGGTCTCTAACGGTCGCATGGCAGCAGCAAAGCAGACGAAACAAACAATTATTCCTCTTTAGACATGAGCGGTGCGGAGCTGCTGCTGTCCGTCTGCTGCTGAAAGCTTCTTTTTTTCCTCTTCCAGGACGATGAGCACGAGCACTGCACTGTTGTACGGAGGCACGAGCGAGCAGACCCAGGCCCCTCGCCGCGCTTTAGCAGCCCCCCGTCGCATCTCATTCCTCACGCACGCTATGCTCCTAGAAATCCCACATCGTGATTTTAAAAAAAAATCTCCAAAAAACGGTCTTGAAAGACAATCGAGGCAAATTATTGTTAATAATAGTGAGAAAAAGACAACAGTCATCGGATGAATTTTTCAGATCGAATAGAACGATCCCACCCCCTTTTTTGAGGGAACTGAAACTGTTGCTTGCTCTATGACGATATAACCGATGCTCTATAACCAATAACTTATCATGCATTGCAGAAATGTTCTTGTAAAAAAATAAAAAAGAACAAACAATAATGCCAAAAACGAACAAAATAAAGTACTGCGAAATCAATAAGCTCAAAACTCAAATAATGAAGTACTTCCTTCTCAGATCGAGTATGTGCATTATTGTCGCATTACGCTCAGCCTTTGCCAGCAGCAGCAGCCCATAGCCCGGTGCCTGTTCTGCCGCGTTCCCCTTGCGCCCGACGCCGGCTAGACTGCATGCCTGCATCATCATCATCCCCTATAGTACTACCATACTCTATCCTACGATCCCCAGTCGGTCGGGGGGATCTATTAAGCCCCACCGAGAATCCCACAGTGTTAGCATTCCAGGCGGGCGCGTCCACACATGCACGCACACACACACGCACAGGCTCGGACCAAAACGCGCATAATGCAACGTGGGATTACACTCGCACACGAGCGCGCACGCACACGCACACACGATCACGCACGCACGCACGCGCACAGCCACATCGCGCGGAGCAGCAATGACCCGAGGGTCCATGCCGTGTGCGCCGTGCCGAGTGTACATGCCTGCGCAGGAATTTATATTACTTATATACAATGCTGAATGCTTCCTGAGCGAGATTTGAAGCGCGGCGGCGGTGGCATCGGCAGCGAGCAAGCGAGCCGACAAAAGAGTAAGCGCGGCACAGCAGCAGGCACGCTCCGCAGCAGCGAAGCATTTGGCGGCCTCTTAGCAACGGCAAAGACATAAAGTTCTAAAATTCTAAAAAAATTACGCAAATTTTATGAATTTCAGCCTGCAATTTATCAAGAACTCAAGTTGTTGAAAATAATATCGAGGAGTTTGCAGACCCTTTATGGGTGCCAGCTTACTGCTCTGCATTTTAGTTGAAGCACACCGTGTTCCTAAAGGTAGAAGGGTGAGGGGAGGAAGGGAGGGGAAGGGGGTAATATTACAGCGACTATTACACGGTCCTGACGCGGCATTCCAAGGCGTTTCCGACCAAATTTTAAGTGGACGGGGGAAAGGCCTCTGCCCTGCCGTTTTTACGGCCTTTAGCGCATTAGTGCTGCTTTGAGGCGAGCAGCAGCGGGAGCGGCGGGCATGGCCTGACCTCTCGGGCTCTCAAGCCACCGAACTCTCCGTGAGCCCCATAGCATAGCGCTGAGTGAGCTGAGTGAGCCTGCTCACCGAAGGGCCTAACAACACGCCAGGGAAAGGGGGGGGGGGAGAAAAGGGCAGCGTTCGCCATATTCTGGGAAGAGCAAACGCTCCCCCTCTCCTCTACCCCCTCGGGTCCATTGTCGTCGCGATGGCAGTGACATTGGCGAGTGTCGAGCCCGCGGGCGGCGGCGTCGCCACGGCGAGAATGGTCCTCCCCCCTGCAGTGCCCTGCCCTGCCCTGCGGGGTCGCTAACCTGCTGGCCTGCGCCGGGAGAGGGGAAGGGAGGGGGGAGATACCGAGCTGCCCGGAGGAGCCACACGGCTAGCCCGCAACAACTGGCCACCGAGGCGCTGCTGCAGCAGAGTCGCTTTGGCGCTTTTCAAGGGTCCCGAAACTGTACAAGCCGACGGTTGAGGACGTCAGCCTGAATCTCACAAAAGTTATTCGTTCGAAGTTCATCAAAGTTTCGACCAAGTTCAGAAGAGTTCGTCGACGTTCTAATCGAAATTCTTTATCGAAGTTGAAGCCTGTTTTCCCTTGGCGCTATCCCGCTCGCTGTCCCCTCTGATACGACGAAAACCGCCGCTATATCCAGAGTGACAAGGTTTCGTGACGGATCTTCTTCTCTCCGCCTCGCCTGTCCCGCGCGCGTCCCCCAAACTGTCTCCTTCTGGATGACTCCAGGCCCTCCAGTCAGAGGCCCCGCCACGAGGCGTCAAACAGCGTCCACGGCGACAATCCCGCTAGCAAAAGCCCGCGAGATGACGGCTTTTAAATTCAAATGAAACGGGCGTCATCCTAAAATATAAAAAATCAAAATCTTGATCTTTTCCCTTCCGCTGCGCTGCGTGTTTCCTTCGACTGCTCCTCGACTCGTCCCGCCTCGCCCCGCCCCTTCACCTCTGCTCTGCCCGCCCCGCCTGACGTTTACGGTTGTAATGGCACGGCGTGTATGATGTATTGCTAGACGTCAAAAGCTCGGTTAGGTCGTTGGCCGTCAGAGACGGGCCGAGGAGAGGAGGGCTCCGCGAGCCCTGCTCTACCCTGTCATGCGCTGCCCCGCCCCGCCCCGACGCGTCCGCCTCGCTAGCAGCTAAAGAGACGCCTGCCGAGTCGCGCCACGACGAGCACGGATCGCAACAGCCCACGAAAGAGAAAAGTAAAACATAAAACGACGTGACCATTTTGACAAAAAAAAGTTCACCTACTGTGGGCGGCGACCATTTGCACGCCGAGCGCCTTAGCAATTGAGATAGGCAAACCCGCAACACGCGCATGCATTCTGCACAGTATCGACAGCGTGCAGGCGTTCACTCTAAAAAAATCAGACAGAATTCTGTAACTTGCTACGAAGTAATTTGCATATCACTTTTGATACAAATACATGTAAAAAGTGATACAGCAGATTTCTAAAACGGATACAAAGTTCTGTATAAATGTGCCAGATTTTGATATCAGTTATAGAAATCTGTATCCATTTTAACAGATATTTGTATCAAAAGTAATATGCAAATTACTGCGTAGCAAGTTACAGAATTCTGTAATTATTCTTTTTAGAGCGTTTTCCCACGGTATATATTACAGACAAAAAGCCGCTAAGCGATCAGGTTCCTCGTTTGATTCCGTGCCGAGAGTCTTTTGCAAACAGACAACCAGCCCACGTCGTACCCGTGTGAATGTGCACGCCCACCAGGGAGGAGGTGAGCGAAACACCGGGAGCCACAAAAGCCATTAGGCGGCAAATTATCAGCTTTTATTGGAAGAGACAAACATCTGCAAAACACGTCCCGCTATCCAAACGAAAAGGATGATCACAAAACGAAAAACGAAAATCGTGCGTGATCCCATCCCCACCATTAACGACGAAGAGAGGTGGTGCGGCGGCGCCGCGCGGAGCAAAGCGTTTCCGATCAAAAACTCCCGCGCGCGAGTGAGTCGTGACGGCGGAACAAAACCCTCGGCTGCGGTCACGGAGGTCAACGAAAATTGGGGAACGAACGAGGAGGAGCGAATTCCTGAAATTCTGCCGCACAGATGTCGGAGCGTCGCGACAAGTCATTAGAAATTCCGAACTGAAGTCGAGGAAAAAAGACCTAAAAAGGCAGCTCCCTCGAGCCCTAAAAGTCAAGCCCATCCCGGCCGACTCCTAAAGTCCGCGAGTCGATTACTCAATAACGGGTCAGCGAGAGATAGAGGGGAGGAGGGAGGAAAAGAGAGGCAAAAAGACAGGAGCTCATTCCCGCAAAAAAAGAAAAGAACGACTAAAAATTAAGAATTTACACGACAGGGAAAGACCATTAAAGACAGCAGGGGCGAGGGTCAATGGCAGTGCCACCCAGGGTCCATCAGGCTGGACCTGGCTGGACCTGCCCCCCCCCCCCTCTCCCTCCCCTGGACCCGCGGGAACCCGAGACGAGGAAGAAAAGAGGGGAACCGGTAACCGGCGGGGGAGGGGCGGGGTGGTGGGCCAGCGGCCCTGACATCACACACTCTGATTTGCTTCACAGATCACTGGGCTGGCTGCGCGTCTCGCGGGGAAAGGCGGGGGTAGCAGGTGAGTCTGCGGGCGGGAGAGTGACATCTGCTCTGGAACTGCTCTTAAAGTGCGACGCGTTCGTCGATAACTTTCCAGCGCAGGAAATAGGCGGGTAAAGGGATCACCCGAAAAATATGTCCGTCATTTGCCGTTGCAAAAACAGCCAAGTTCAGCCAATGCAAGTTCTCATGGCGCCTACTACGTAGGCAACATCTTGCCAGATATGCATGCGTGCACTGCAGGGTAGCCTACCCCGAGTCTCGCAGGCGCCAAGCTGCCCTAATTTCCCAAATGAAATCTATGAGGAAAAAAGCGACGCACTTTCTGGACGATCTCAGAGGAGTCTGTGCACTCTCCACAGTGCAAGACGCCCAGACCCTTACCTGTCGGGTGCAGTAGTGCTCGAAGGCCCGGAGCATGGGCGTGGCCGCGAGGAACAGGCGGCCGATGTCGACGCTGAGGAGATCGTCGTCGCCCTGCTCCACGGCCATCTCCAGCGAGTCGCGCAGCCGCTCTGCCAGCGCCGTGGCATGTGCCTGCAGCTCCTCCGCGTTCAGGAAGATGGCGGTCAGCTTGAAAAAAAAAAAAAGTTTTCGAACTTGAAAAAATTGCCTTCCCTGACATCATAATGAGAAACACTTGTGAAGGATAAGGGAAAATTTTCCATGACGTGTGTTGTAAAGTTAAAATTCGAAATTGTAAAACTACAGGTACCTCGTGTCGACTTAGAATTCAGCAGAGAGTAAAAATGGGCAGTCAATTACAACATATTTTGTAAATAG